GCTTTTTGGGTCACACCCAGTGCTGCTCAGGGCATGCTCCTGGCTCTGCGCTCAGGAATTCCTCCTGGCGGTGCTCAGGGACAATATGGGATCCCGGTGATCGAACCGGGTTGGCCGCATGCAGGCAAATGCCCTCCCCGCTGTGCTACCGCTCCAGCCGCCACCCCTTTTTTTTTTTTTTTTTTTTGCGAGTGTCCCCTCTGTCTGCTTTCACTTCACCCTGTGGAGCTGGGGAGTTGCCATAAGGTGAAACCGGCATTTTAGACCTAAATTCTCGACGATTCCTCATCACACAAGTCAGAGCCAAACTCTCCCCAGCCAGCTGCCCCCGGATGGGGTCTGGCCGGAGTCGACTCCGTGAGGACGGGACCTTGGGCGCCAACCCCTGGGGACCTGGGGAGGCAGGAGTGAAGTGTTGAAGGGATGATCGCTCAGCATCACTGACCCAAGACTGCTCCCCTCCACAGCCCTCACCCCCAGCCAGGCCGGTGGGCGACAGAGGCACGGGAACAGCTGTGACGCACGCCTGGGGGTCCGAGACGGGGCCAGTGCAGAGCCGGGGGCCCTGGCGGAGAAGGGCCGCCGAGACCCCGCTGCCCTGGGCCCTAGCCAAGCTCACACGCTTTCCCAGAGTCCTGGGGACCCTTCAGCCCCTTCATGCTGGTTTTGTCTGCGAGCCGGAGTCAGTCCCAGGCCGTCTGTCCTGCACAGGACACCCCGAGTGCGTGTGCGGCCCCCGGGGCTGGGGTGCAGGTCAGAAGCTGGGCATGGACGGAGCACAGAGGTAGCCAGTCGGCTGGTCCACTGACCTGGGGGCCAGAAGGACGTGGCGGGGGGCGGTTTCCTTTCCCTTGGGGGGACGGGGCAGGAGTGGCTGTTCCCTGCCATCTCCCCTGGGCTGGCCGCTGGGTCCACACCTGAGGCTGTTCCCCTGGAGAAGGGGAATCGAGCCTTGGCCACAGGAGCGACCGTTTCCCACAGGGGGGATGTGGGCGCAGTCCTGAGCCCTCCGGGGTGGAAGAGGATGTGGGGGCCGCAGGGCAGGGGCGTCTGGGGTGAGGGACGCTGCAGGCAACTGGACGCGAGCCCCCTCTCCCCCGGCCCAGGCTTCATGAGGTCACGTGGGCAGTAGGTGGCCAGGGGTTCCTCCGGGCTGGGTGACGGGGGCCGTGCGTGCTGGGGACGGAATCACTCACGGGGCTCTCCCCAGCCCCTGCTCTCACTCTTGCAGGACTTGGCTTGGGTTGGAGCAAAGGCCGCCTTGTGGGGCCATCTGAAACCCAGGCGGGAAGGGAGCCCCGGCCTCTGCGGGCCCCACCCTGTGCCACACCCTGGGGGCAGGGAGGCTCCTGGGGCCGCTGCCATGACTCGAGGCCAACACAGTGTTTTTTGTTTTTGCTTTTTGGGTCACACCCAGCCTATGCTCAGGGGTTCCTCCTGGCTCTGCACTCAGGAATCAGTCCTGGCAGAGCTTGGGGAACCATATGGGATGCTGGGAATCGAACCCGGGTTGGCCGCGTGCAAGGCAAACGGCCCTACCCACTGTGCTATTGCTCCAGCCCCACCAACCCATTTTTTAATACCTATTTTTCATTTTTAGGGAAATGGGATCAGTCAAACAGGAAGTGAGCCGCTGAAGGGAGAGGGACCATTGTGGGTCCCTGGGGAACCGCATACATGCTCCGGCCTCAGCTCCACGTGGCCCCGGGGACAGCCCTCACCCAGCCAGTCCCTCCACGGGGCCACGAGCCTTTCCTGGCCCCATTTCCCAAGTCACTGCGGAGTTGGCAGCTCGGCCACTGACTTGGGCCACCGTAGGCTTCCTCTGACTCTGTGCTGCCAAATTCCCTGGGGCTCGAGGGGGTGGGGCAGCTCCCCCTGGGCCCCCTCACCCAGAAACAGCCAGGAGCAAAGGCAGCCAGAGAAGCCCTGGCCTGGAGGGAGGGCACAGGCCGTGCACGTGCAGGGCCTGGGGTGGGAGTCAGCCCCCCGCCCCCCACACACACACAGGAGAAATGACTTTTTTTTTTTTTTTGAGTCACACCTGGCGATGCACAGGGGTTACTTCTGGCTCTGCACTCAGGAATTACTCCTGGCAGTGCTCAGGGGACCCTATGGGATGCTGGGAATCGAACCCGGGTCGGCCGCGTGCAAGGCAAACGCCCTACCTGCTGTGCTATCGCTCCAGCCCCATGACATTTTTTCATTGTGTGTTTGGGCCACACCCGGCAATGCTCAGGGCTGACTCCTGGGCTCAGGTATCACTCCTGGCGGGGCTCTGGGGCTTGTACGAGGATCGAACAAGTCATGTGCGAGGCTGTTCTATCACTCTGGCTCCCAGAAATAACATGTTATTTATTTATTTTGCTTTTTGGGTCACGCCCAGCGATGCACAGGGATTCCTCCTGGCTCTGCACTCAGGAATCACACCTGACGGTGCTCAGGGGACCTTATGGGATGCCGGGAATCGAACCCGGGCCGGCTGCGTGCAAGGCAAACGCACTCCCCGCTGTGCTATTGCTCCAGCCCCAACCAGAAATACAATTTTAAAAGAAACATAGGGCTAGAGAGAGCACAGGTGTGATGGTAACACGCCTTGTAGCAGCCGACCCCAGTCTGTTCCCTGGCACTGCCTCTGGGGGTGGCCTCAGCCTCCCTGCGTGCAGCTCCAGACCCCGTTGGCTGAAAACCACCGAGTATGGGGGTGGGGGGGACTCCTCCTAGCCGTCCGGTGGAGGCTTCCCTCTCTGCCAGTTATGGCCAAGAAATCAAGAAGAGGCCGTTCCATAGTGCTGCAGGTGCTGGGCCAGCCCTGCGCAGTGGCTGTTGCTGGCGGTGGGCCGGCCCTGTGCAGGGGCTGTGAAGCCAGTGTGGCCCTCCAAGTGCTCATGCATCGTGATGGGAGCGAGAGCGTCTGTGCAGACGGCTATGGGCGTGTGCAGGTAAGGACAGTGACACGGGGGGCGTGAGGGTCTGCAGCTCTCTACCTGGGGCCCGATGAGCCGCACTCCCGCTCTGGGTTGGGGCCACTTCACTCCTCCGGAACAAGGCAGCTGGGACCCCAGGCCCAGGACCCCCTTTACCAGACCCCCAGCCTCACCCTGGTTCCCAGGCTAGCCCAGGTCTTCACTCTAGCACCGAGAGGAGCCAAAGGCCTCCCGGCTTGGCCGATGATGATTCCCGCCCTGCAGCTGCTCACGGTGTAGTGGACAATCACGTCCGGGGCAGCTGGACCCTCCATGCACCTTCAGAGCACAGAGCCAGGGGTCAGCCTTGGGCACTGCCAGGCATGGCCCACTGCCCGCCTCCAGCACGCCGGGCCAGGGGGAGGTGCCTGATGATTTGGTGCCCTGGCGGTGCCCAGGGCCACACCTGAGATGCTCAGGGCAGCCGTGCAGCGCTGGGGATCCAACTTGGGGCCTGGCGCTGCCGCACAAGCTCTCTCTGCACCCCTGTTGGACCCCGGATGGCGTTTCTCAAGTCTGGGCTGTGCTCTGCGCCTGGATGCGGAAACTGGTCCCATCTGAACATGTGAATCCCTGGACATCCATGAGATGCGGTTTCCTGCCCAGGGCCTGGACCCTGACCCAAACCACTTTAGCCGTAGGGGTCCCCCCCGGCCAGCAGCTGAGCGAGCCATGCCAGAGAGAGCCTTCCCCGCCCTTCCCGACGCCTGGGTCCCAGGACACAGGCCATCAAGGGGGGACCCTTGGATGGTGCCCAGGAGGTCAGGGACTGCCCAGCCATACTTGGTCTGGCTGTGGGCAGCAGACATGCCCAGCCATGAGGACGCTGCTGGGTCCACACTGTGTGCCAGAACAGACTCCCTGTCCCTTCCTGCTGGCCTCAGAGTCCTGTCTCCAACCATGCCCTGGACCCCGTAGACTCTGTATGGGTCACCTGGGTCACTCCTGGCTCCGCGTCCGCGTGACGGAGAGGAGACTTGCCAGAGGAGGAAACTGAGGCTCAAGAGACAGAGGAGGAAACTGAGGCCCACTTGTGCAGGAGCCCATAGCTCTCCCAAGGACCGGGAACTGGCCCCTCGTCCACCCACCTACTGTGGGCCCTGAAAGTGCCATCTCGGGGGCCCCCACTCAGCCCTGGGCAGTGCCCCCACCCGCCCCCTTCTCAGGGGATTCTCCGTTCTGGGACGCCCCATGTCTCAGACGGAGCACTGAGGCCTGGGGGCACAGTCACCCCTGGGCACCTCCTCTATTAGCTGTGGCCCCATCTCTGCTTCCAGAGGAGCTGCCGTGTGTCGGGGGTGGGGGCACTCCAGCCATCCAGGGGGCCCCTGGGAACCCACGACAGGGGCGGTCAGGCCTCCAAGGGGCCTCAGTTTCCCCACCTGTCCAGTGGGGATGAGGGGGCCGCCACGGTTGCAGCTCCCTGCAGTTGGGGTGTGGCTCTGCCCCTCCCCCCGCCATGCAAACCCCAGGCTGTGGACCCCCACCTCTTCCTTCACCCCCGGGGGGCACCGGGCCCTCACTGCCCCGCTCACCCAGTCCCCGCCCCTGCCCACCTTGGCGCCCCGTGTCTTTTCTGTGACTCTGCCACCCCTGTGGAGGTGCAGGAGGCCCGGGAGAGCCCAAGTCGGCTGGCTGATGAGTGGGGTTCGCCCTCCTGGCACTGCCCACGAGCACCCCCAGAGGCTCACAGACCCCCGGTGGTGGAGATCCACACGGATGGGCCACCACGGGGCCACAGCCGGGCCCTGGGGAAGTGCCAGGAGCCTCCCTTCTGCCCTCCCTGCCACCGGCGGGTCCTGCCCACCCCAGCTGCCACCGGCCCGGGGTCCCTCCCCGCGATGGCGTCTGCACCGTCCTGCCTTTTCCTGGCGTTCCAGAGGGAGGTCGGACCGCTGCCGCCCCCACCCTGGGTCTCAGTGTCCGCTGCCTCTGAGGCTGTCACAAACACAGGGCGGGCCGTCACGTGGTCCCGCCCGAGTAACCACACTCTCGCTTCCTCCTTTCGCACAGAGCCGTTGGAGAGGGCCACCGAGGGGGTGCCACCGCGGAGCCCGGCGGGCCTTGTCGCACGGCCGAGCAGCGGCTTCCCGGGGCCCCGTGGCCGCTGTCCCATGGTCTGCTGAGCGCGGTGAGTACAGCTGACCGCAGGCGGGCAGCCCCTGGGGAGATCCCGGGGGGCCTAGTCCGCCCCCGTGAGTGTCTGCTCCCCCCCCCCCGGAGCGCGTCTGTAGCGGATGTCAGACATTCAGAGTCGGGGAAGGGGGGGGGGCCAGTCCCGGTGGCACTCGGAGCTCACTCCCAGCTCTGCGTTCGGGGCTCACTCCCGGCTCTGTGCTTGGGTCTCACTCCCGGTGGGCTCAGGGAATCAGATTGGATGCTGGGGATCAAATCCAGGTTGGTCATGTACAAGGCAAGTGCCCTCCCTGCTGTGCTATGGTGCCAGCCCCAGTGTTGGGAGGGAAACTGAGGCCCAGAGACAGGAGGAAGGGGCTAGCTTCTCAGCACAGCAGGCACTGGGCTGGGAGACCCCCGGAAAGGGGTGTAGGACTGGTGGAGACCATGTAGGCTCTGGCGCATAAACCGTTTCTGAGGCGATGCCCATCCCCTGTTGAAGACTGGCCAAGGACACTCACCAGCAGGCTGAAGGATCGAGTGGGCGTCACAGCGCAGACTCCCAGGCTCACCAGCCTGTGCTGAGGGGGCATTAGGAATGGGGGGGTGCTGGCTGGTCCACTGGCCCCACATACACTCCCATGAACACGCACACACCCCTCTGCTCCCCGCACGGACCCCACCCTGCGCCAAGGGCCCTGGAAGTCCCGGGCTGCCTCTGCTCCATCCTTCCCTATCCTGGAACTCTCTGGGCCAGGCCTCTGGAGGGTGGGGGGCCCCAGACCCCTGAGCTGCTTCCTTTGTGGTGGCTGGGGGACCCGGGCGTGGCAGGGAGCATGGAACTCGGTTCCTGGAAGGACTGAGAGGGCCCTCTGGGGAGCAAGGCGCTCAAAGGCACGAGAGTCATTGGGGACGGTCCCTTTCACAGGCTGGGAAACTGAGGCTCGGGGTGTGGATAGAGACCTCGGCCCTGGCTCAGGGCCCCCCTGAATGAGTTTCTGCAGGAAGGGTGCTAACGGGGGTCTGAGGAGGGAGGACGGCAGGGGCGGGTGGTCCGCCTGCTTGTCCCTCATTGGAACACGGTCAGCGGAGCTGAAATCAGGTGCGAGGGCACCAAGTCCCTCCACACAAACACCTCCCACCTGCGGGGTCAGGGAAGGGAGTCACGCTGGCAAGCAGGGACGCCTGTGCTGCCCCGTGGCTGATCGTCCGTTTCTGCCACTGTCATTGGGCCTCAGACTGGGCTGCGGGTCCCCTGGATGCTGCTCTCCAGGCTCTGCTGCCTGTCCACATGCCCGCTGACCCCCACCCATCCACTTGGCCCAGGCCGGGTCACCGAGCAGCAAAGCCCTCGTGGTTCCCGGCTCCTGGGAGTTTGGTTTTGTTTAGGGGCCACTCCTAGGGGTGCTCAGGCTGACTCCCAGCTCTGTGCTCAGAGCTCACTCCTTGAGGTGCTCGGGGCTGACTCCCGGCTCTCTGCTCAGGGCTGACCCCTGGCTCTGTGCTCAGGGTTGACTTCTGGCCGTGCTTGGGGGAACATCTGTGGTGCACGGACGGAACCCAAGTCATTCACCTCTTCACCCCCGTACGCTCTCTGGCCGGCCTGTCCTCTCTTACGGGACAGCAGAAATTCATTTTTAGAAAGTAATTTTTAATTTTTTGTTTGTTTGTTTGGGGGCCTCTCAAGCAGCCCTCCCGTCTCGGGATGCTTCTCGCAGCCGAGCCTGGTCGGGTGCTCAGGACACTGGTGCTGGATGGGGGTCGGGGATGCACAGCACTGCCATAGCGAGCTGTGAGGGCCCGTGGGGGTCAGACTCGGGACCTTGCCCAAGCAGGGTGTGTTCTCCAGCCCCCTGAAGCGCTTCTCCAGACCCAGGAAACCTCTTTAAAGGGTGTGGCGACAGGAGCGATTAGCTGTGCCTGGGTCGTCCAGGATGGCTGCTTGGCGAGGATCAACTCCAGATTTGGAGAAGGGTCATGGCCTTGACTATAAAGCAGAGGCAAACTGTCCGGGTTCAAATTCTTACTCCCCCTCCTTTTTTGGGGGGAGGGGAGGTTCCACACCCACGGATGCTCAGGGATCACTCCTGACGGGGCTCAGGGGGATGCCAGGGATCGAACCCAGGTCGGCTGCGTGCAAGGCAAACGCCCTCCTCGCTGTGCTATCGCTCCAGCCCCTCTGCTCTCCCTCTTGTTGGCTCTGCGCCTCTAGATCCACATGTGCCTCAGTTTCCCTGACTTTCACATAGGGCTAGGAGGAGAGGGCGGTGGGGTCTGCGTGAGCTCGAGCCTGACACACTGTCCACACCGTCTCTCCTGGCCTGCTGCCTGGCCCTCTAATGGTCAGGGTGAGAAATGTCCAGATTGTTCAGGTTTGGGGGTGCCCAGAGCAGGCCTGAGCTGCGGAATCACAAGGACCCCAGCTGGCTCCCGGGCATGCCCCCCTCTCCCTGGGCACAACACCCCCGGCCCGACCCTCTCGCTGCACTCGGAGCTGCGGCATGTCCCAGCCCGGCTGCTGCGGCCCAGCAAGGTGTGTGCAGTGGTCAGCGTCACTCGGCCAGAAGCAGAAGCGCTGGGGCTGGACAATGCCCGTGACCGGGCCCAGTGCCAGGACTTAGCCCCGGGTGTGAGCGCTCTCTGTCTCTTTCCTTCTCCGTGTCTCTCTTTCCCCCTCTGGCTGGCGGCCCAAGCCACATCTCAGGCCACTCGGCCTTTGGGGGTCTAGACCCACCCCCAGGGCTGCAGCGACCCCCTCCCCCCAAGTCCCTCTTCGGGGAGGTCTCTCAGCGGCATGGAATCTTGGGGTCTCTTTTCTGAGCAATTCTGGGTGCTCAGGGCCAGAACTCCGGAGCAATCGTGTGGGTCCTCTAGAGTTGAGAGCGCAGAGCAGCCTGGGTTTGGGGTGGAAAACCAAAACTCGGGCAGTGGGTTGGGCACCACGCCCCACCCTCCCCGCAAGCCTGACCCTTCTTGTGGCCGGTAACCGAGAGCGAGAGAGTCGAGGTGAGAGCAAGCCCAGGGGAGGTGACACCATGGCGCTGAGCCCCGTTGGAAACAGCCCACCCCCTGGCGGGCTTTGGGGGACCTTGACCTCGCTAGGGCAGAGTAACTTGCCCCCAGTACACACTGGGGACTTTCCACTCTTCCTGCCACATCACCTATAGACCAGGGGCGCCGGGTGGGGGCCCAGCCCATCTGCACAGGCGGCTTTGGGGCCCAGGGGCTCTGACCGTCTGAGTCGGGGGCCGCCCTCGGACACACCCCGCACCCCATCTCATCTCAGTGGGTGGGAAGGTCCCTGCCTGCATAGGGTCCTCCCACCCCAGCCTCCCTCGCCCACAAGGGCGTGGTCCCGGTAGCCACCCCCTGCCATGCCTGCAGGGGGAGCTTGGCTGCATCTCGCCTGATTCTTCCGAGCTACTGCAGCTGCAGCGCCCATGTTACAGATGGGGAAACTGAGGACCAGAGAAGCTGGAGAGACGGCCTCCAAGTCCCTCCCTCCACTCCATGGTCTCGGCCTCACCTGCATCCCCCCCTCCCCCCCCGTGCATGTTTGTCTCTGCAGCAGGAAACTGGGGGGCGTGGGCTGCATCCACTCCTCCCTGGGCCTGAAGCCAGGCAGCGGGACTGGTGGCTGGCCTCCCAGAGCTGGGGTGACAGGTTCGCCCATGGGAGCGACTGCTCCTGCTGGGTGCACTGGAAAGGCCATGGGGGCACTGGTGAGGGGGTAGTGGTGGGGAGAGCCCACCGTGGGCCAGCACCAGCCCGGTCCCCCACCTCGGGCCCCCACTCCCGGGGCCCCGCCCTTCCACTGGGCCCGCCCCTGCTTCCAGGAAGTGGCTGAGCCCGTGTCTTCGGGGAACCAGGGCGGCCGAGTGGGGGAGGGCCCGAGTCATCCAATTATCAGGAAACGGGGTCTGAGCTGCTGGTCCGTCCTCAGGTGCGATGTGTATGCATAAAACGAATGAGAAGCCCACCGCTCTCTCTCTCTCTCTCTCTCTCTCTCTCGCCGCCTGCGTTCGATGGTCTCGGGCCGCTTCCCCACCCAGGATGGCTGATGCCATGGGTGGAAACAAGGGCCAGGCTGGTTGGTATCCACTGCAGTTTATTCCAATCTCCTCTCCTGTCTGTCTGTCTGTCTGTCTGGCAGCACAATCAACATATCAAAGCCCTTCCTGGCCTCCTGCAGTCAGGAGATGGCCCAAGGGTGAAATACCACCTAGGGTGTGTTTCTCCTTTCCTTAGTGCAGTAGCCATTTAAACATTCATCTTTAGTCTATGGACACAGGAAGGGATACATTAAGCTTACAGGATTCTCTCCTGGGGAATCTCGCTATAGATCTCAGGCTACAGTGCTCAGGCCAGATTAATCTTTCCTAACACTAGCAGGGTTCTAATCCAGTTGTTACTTTTTTGGGTCATGACAGCATTTGTCCATGGTCATGTCCTCAACTTATAGTTGAGTATCGTGGCCCTTTGGCCTGGCCCACTTTGATGCCAGGGTAGCTCACAGACTTGCCCTGGGTCCATCCAGTCCTTCGTCGGGACCCTGATTTTGGGGTGCTAGGAAGTAAGGGCAACTGAGGCTTAAGTAGAGAAAACAGATGCCCCGGAGTGAATATTATTCGAGGTCAGTCAATTTCCAAATTACAAAAGCATTGTCTCCCTGTGTCCATACAAAAAGGACACATTACATTGCTCTGAAGTAGCCATGCAAAGGACACAAGGGGAAGAGAAAAGCAATATTTACAAGTTAACAGTCTGATTAGGAGATAAACGTGGTGGACCAGTTGGGGAAGCAGAGCACAAAGAAAGAGGTTACAGATAGACACAGAGGAATGGGAGTGCCTCGGGAGCACTGTGATGGGAGTAACCCAATACACCTCAGCTCCCTGTGGCAAGGCAGAAAGGACAAATCAATGTTATCCTACAGTGCCCACCCTGGGAAGCAGGGCCAGCGGGTAGGGGGCATCCTGTCTTCTGATCCTGGGTAGGGACCCCGCACAGGGCAGAGATGGGCTCCCAAGGGCAACAGGGAGGCCGGGCGTGTAGGTACCTGCAGACTGTGAGGGACGGGGGCATGTGGACGTGACCCCTTCATAAAACACCTAGCGAGAGCCAAAAGCCAAAAGCTGGGTTTTGCAGTCATCCCCGGCAGTGCTTGGGGATCACTCCTGGCGAACTCAGGAGACCATATGAGGCAGCAGGAATGGAACCCGGGTCAGCCGCATGCAAGCAAGTGCCCTCCCCACTGTGCCGTCGCTCTGGCCCTGACAGCCAGAAGCTCTTTAAATTTTATTTTGAAGTCACACCCAGCGTCACTCCGGAGGTCACTGCTGGTGGTGCCAGGCAGTGCCAGCCATCAATCCAGAGGCGCCCAGGCGTTGAAATGACAGCGGGTATGGCCCTTGCCTTGCATACTGCCAACCCGGGTTCAATCCCAAGCATCCCTGAGCACTGCCAGGAGTGACTCCTGAGTGCAGAGCCAGGAGTAACCCCTGAGCAAGTCGGGGTGTGCCCCCGTCACCCCTCCCTCCTCAAAGGAAGTTAAGGCGTGATCAGAGTGGCATTTTATCTTTTAATTTTTTTGGGGGGGAATCGGCACACTTCCCCATGCTTAGGGCTTATTCCTGGTTCTGCGTTCAGGGTTCATTCCTGGCAGGGTTCAGGGCACTCTATGCAGTGCCAGGGACTGAACCAGGGTTGGCATACTGTACTATCGCTCCAGCTCCAGAGTGGCATTTTAGAAAAGAACATTCTTGAGCTGGGGAGATAAAGTGCTTGCCTTGCATGCGATCAAGATCAACCCGGGTTCGAGTCTTGGCATTGCCTCTGCCCCCCCCCCCCCCCCGCATCACCGTGATCAAACAATCCCTGAGCACAGAGCTAGGAATAAGCCCTGAGCACAGCTCAGTGTGGCCCAAAAAAGTCAGGGGGGAAAGAAAACTATAAAGAGAGAAGTTAATGAGTTAATGAGGGGTGACAGACAGCAGGGCCGGGAGCAAACTTAAAGAGCTGGAGTGGAGACCTTGCAGGTGTGAGACCCCAAGGTCAGTCCCGGCAGGAGCTGGCGCCCTGAGCACTGAAAGCTGAAGCCCCGGGAAGCCCCAAGTATCTCAGCCATCAGCCCTCTGCCTCCAGGCCAAGTTTCACCAGTTTCGCCTCTTGCCCCACCCCTGCGGGAGACCTCGTCAAAAAGAAGGGATGAGGTGAACGTCCATAGAACCCAAGCCCTAAGACTGTCTCGCTCCACCCCAAAGGGTCGTTTTGCTCACAAACCACACATTTTTGCCCAAAAGGGTGGAAGGCAAAGAGTTTTCTATGTGGCCACAGAGAGGGGTGCAGGACCCCCAAATGATTCATCGGGGCTGCTAAATGTAACAGCCGCTGTGCCTGGGAGCACCGGCTTTGCAAGTGGGAGGGGAGCACCAGGTTTGATCCCCAGCACTGTGTGGTGCTCCAGAGCACCGCTGGTGTGACCTGTTGGCTGCCACTGTGTGTGCTGGGCTGGGAGAGTGTGGAAGCCGGTGCTGGGAAGAGAGCCGGGGGCACACACCCACCCGCACGGGAGGCTGGGTAGCCTTGGTGACCCTCTGCGTGTGTCCCCCAGGTGCCATGCGTCTGCAAGTCCTCCTGCTGCTGACCCTGCTGGGCCCCGGCTGCAGCCTCCGGCTGGTGCCTGCCAAGGGCTCCCTGGACTCCCCGGCTGCTCGGGCTCGCAGACAGGCCCCCGTGGACGAGGATCCGGAGGACGTGGAAGATCACGACTACGAGTATGGCACGGACCCTCCAGAAGTCCTCGACAAAGCGCTGACCACCCTCCCCCACCCCAGCCCCGTGCCTGGGTTGGGAACCCCGGGACAGGGGCACCCCGTCGGGGCTCGAACTCAGGAACCGCTGCCTTCGGGGGCAGCCGGCAGCAGCCGGGAGCCCTCCGCCGTACCTGTGCAACCCACCCCGGAGGCCACGCCCACCCCGGAGGCCCCGCCCACCCCAAAGGCCCCGCCCACCAAGGAGGCTCCGCCCACTCAGAGGCCGCCCACTGAAACCACAACCACCACAACCACGCCCACTGAAACCACGCCCCCTGCCACCACCCCCGCTGAGACCACGCCCACACCTCCTGCCACCACCGCCGCCCCCGAGGCCCAGACCACAGGAGCCGCGGCCACAGAGGCCCTGCCCCATGGCAGGGCCATCCCAGAGACGCTGTCCACTAAACTTCCTGCCGTGGCAGACCCTCCCACGGAGTCCACTACCGCCAAGGCCCAGACCACACTTCCTGCGGCCCCCGGGGGCCTCACCCCCGCACCAGGGGGCGACTCCTCCCGCCAAAAGAACAGGGCCAGCGCGACGCCAGGGGGCTCGGTGACCCCCAGCTCCACGAGGGCCTCGGACCACATCCCTGTGAAGCAGTGCCTGCTGGCCATCCTCATCCTGGCCCTGGTGGCCACCGTCTTCCTGGTGTGCACCGTGGTGCTGGCTGTGCGCCTGTCCCGCAAGACTCACATGTACCCTCTGCGCAGCTACTCGCCCACCGAGATGGTCTGCATCTCGTCCCTGCTGCCCGAGGGTGGGGGCGGCGGCGGGGGCGAGGGCTCGGGGACCACGGCCAACGGGGGTCCGCCCACGGGCAAGAGCGCAGACTCGAAGGTGGAGCCCGGGGAGGAGCATGAGGGCGACGACCTCACCCTGCGCAGCTTCCTGCCGTAGTCCCGCCCCGCTCGCCCACGCCTAGGCGCCCACCCATGCTTGCGTCCATGTGCCCACGCGTCAGTGCGTCTACCCAGCACGTGCCCACATGTGAGGGTCGATGCCTCTGCCCATCCATGTGCCTATATGTTCCCCTGCCCACCCATCTGTGTGTCCTTTCATGTGCCCTGGGTCCACCCATCCATGAATCCGTTGGTCAGTGCGCCCACCCCTTCATGCAACCACTGTGTCCATCTGAGCAGGACCTGGCCTCTTCACTCCCTCCAAGGTGTCTACCGTGGACACAGGCTTGGCATGGAGATCTGGAGGACCGAAACACAGTGGTCATCCCACTCGGGACTGAGACCAGCAGAATGTCCTGCTCTGGAGCAAGTCTGACCAGCGGCCCCTCATTTTCCTTCCTGCCTCCTGTGTCCCGTCTGTGTTGGCCTCTCAGCGCTGCCTCCCTCCTCCTGAGCCCCCAGGAAACCCCCACGCTTGTCTTCCCCCCCTTCCCACCATTTCTTTGAGTCCTAAGAATCCCCTACACAGGAAGTGGGCCTGGGGGCAGATGGGTGTGCTCCTGGGGTCTTTTCCTGTGGCTCCTCCTTTTGGGGCAACTTGGGCACCTCTCTGAGGACCCGAGCCGAGGCCTGGACTGGGCTTGGAGACTCTTCCTTGGAGCTGTGGAGAAGAATGACCGACCATGGTGACAGAGACGTCCCAGACACCCTTTCTTGCTTTCGCGAGGTCCACGTTTCTGGGTGGGCCTAGCTCCCACGCGGCAGGTTCTGTCCTGCCGTGGAAAGGTCCTTTCCTCCCAAGGGGGCTGCTGCAGGGGAACCAGGCTCCCCCTCGGAGTTGTGAAGTTTCAGCAGAGCTCCGAAGAGCAGCTCCCTTCTTCCAGAGCAAATGGGAGCGGAAGTGTGAGGGTTGGCGTTCCTAACGCGTCACCGGCTTCTCCTGGGCCCTGGCACCAACTGCAGGTGTCCAGTGTGATCACACGTGGAGGTGTTGACGGTTGCTTTAACATAGGAGTGCACGCCTGATTTGCAGGCACAGTTGGAACTCTTAGAGCAGAAGTTGGGAAAGACCTTGATGAACTGGGACAGCTGGTCAACCCTCCACTGCTGTCAGACTCCATCAACCCACAGAGCCTGATCCTGTTACTGTTTTTTTTCTCTTTTTGGGTCACACCCGGCGATGCTCAGGGCTTACTCCTGGCTCATGCACTCAGGAATTGCTCCTGGCGGTGCTCAGGGGACCATATGGGGTGATGGGATTTGAACCTGTGTCGGTCATGTTGGCTGTGTGCAAGGCAAGCACCCTACCCGCTGTGCTATCTCTCCAGCCCACAACTTGTTTGTAAATAAAGTTTTATCAGAACTCAGCCCCACACAGACACTGTGACATTTTGTTGATGGTGCATTTGTGTTACAAGGACTGTAGTCAGGGGGAACATCAGAGACTCTGTTGTCTGCATGACCCCCCCTCCCCCCCACAAGAGATACTGCTTGGCCCGTTCAAAACAATTGGTCAACCTCAACATTTGTTTTATTTTACTGGGGGAGGGGTTACACCCAGCAGTGCCCAGGGCTGACTCCAGGCTGCGTGCTTAGGCATCCCTCCTAGCAGTAGTCAGGGAAACATATAAAATGCCAAGAATTGAACCTGGGTCTGCTGAGTGCAAGGCAAGTGCCCTACCCGCGGTACTATCCTTTAGACTACAGATAGTTACAAGCCTGTGATAGGTTACAGATAGTTACACTCCTGTGATAGATTGCAGATAGTTACACTGCTTGATAGATTGCAGAGTTACACTCCTGTGGGGCAGAGAGTTACACTCCTCTAATAATGGCACAGTTACACTCCTACTAGGGGTACAAAGGTAGTTACTGGGAAACAGGTCCAGTGAGGGATGGAGGACGGGGGTGGGGCGTGATGCGGGGGTAGTCTGTGGAAAACACACAGGTTTCTCCTGGCTTTCAGCCTAGAGCAAGTGGCTACACAGGGTTTCTGTGGAGGGAAACAAGAGGGCTGTCCATCATGGGTGGGGGGCCTTCGCCCTGGACAGAGAGGCTGGCCTGTAGGAGAACCATAAATTCCCGTTTCTTTGGGGCTGATCAAAAAAAAGCCAACTGGGGTGACTCCACATCATAGGTTGAGAGATCCAGGGACAGAAAGTCTTGGAGATCATCTAAATCGTCTCCGTGGTTTTTTTTATTTAACTTCTTTTTTCTTTTTTTTTTTAATTGAATCACCATGAGATACAGTTTCAAAGCTTTCACGTTTGAGTTTCAATCACACAATGATCCAACACCCGTCCCTCCACCAGCGCACATTCCCCACCACCAATGTCCCCAGTGTCTCCCTCCTTTCCAACCCTCTGCCTCCATGGCAGACAATTTCCCCCATACTGTCTCCACTTTTGGGCATTATGGTTTGCGATACGGATACTGAGGGGCCATCACGTTTGGTCTTTATCTACTTTCAGCAAACATCTCCCATCCCGAATGATTCCTCCAACCATCACCGCCTTAGTGGTCCTTTCTTTGTTCCAACTGCCTCCCCCCCCAGGTCACAAGACAGGCTTCCAAATCTGTTTCCCCTGGGATTTTTTTTCGCTTTTTGGGTCACACCCAGCGATGCTCAGGGGTTACTCCTGGCTTGCACTCAGGAATCACTCCTGGTGGTGCTCGGGGGACCCTATGGGATGCTGGGAATCGAACCCAGGTCGGCTGTGGGCAAGGCAAACGCCCTCCCCGCTGTGCTATCGCTCCAGCCCCTCCCCTGGGATTTTTGACCCCTCTCCTGGCTTCCTTCCGAGAAGGATCACGGCTCCTGCCTTTCTTGGGGGAGTCCTGAGTTTTCTGCATCCCATCCCTAGGATCCCAAGGGCCCGCGTTTGTCAGGTTCGGAGAGGACGAGTGCTTGAAGCAGCCACCAGGGGGCGCCTGGCACCCACTCGTTTTGTCTTGGGAAGCGCGTGGGCCTGTCTGAGGATGGGGAGGAAATAGTGGCCCTCTGTGGAGTCACAAGCCGCCTTCACTGAGCCACCGGCTCCAAGGGCGGGTGGGGGGACCTGCACCCAGTCAGGCTTTTCCATGCTTGCCAGTTTCCTTAGCGCAGTACTCCAGTGGCCGGGAGCAAATACAGGAGGCGGTTGAGGCGGGTGGGTACCACATACCGTCAAATCACAGCTGGTTTCACTTGACCACGCCTAAGATTCTGGAAGTTGGGTGCAGGGACCCCAGAGACGGGTGTCCGGGCTTTTGTGTAAGTCCTTTCCCTTAACATCACCACCTGTGTCCCCCGTCACCCACGCGGCGAACATCCTGAGCTCCAATCGCAGCGATGCCTCCCCGAGTTCCCTCCTGGGAAGGACTGGATTTTAGGGAAGAGGAAACTGAGGCTCACAGAGGGAAAGTCCCTGAGGCTCAGGTCATTCATCTGAGGGGATCTGGGCTTGGGGCTGAGGCTTGGGGCCGAGGCCTGAGGCAGCCTGCACTTGTCCTGGTGACTAAGTCACACTGCCCTTGAGATCACGGTGGGGGGTCTAGGGGAACCCTGTGGCCCCAACACTCACCCTGCTGATGTGCTCAGGCACCACCTAAAAGTCCTGGCCGGCCCGTGACCCTTCGATTAGTTCCTCCTTGAAGACAACAAACAGCGTGACACAGAGCATAGCTGGTCAAGGAGAAGAGAGATGGTGCAGGGGGAGGGGGGAGGGGTGGCCTGCGGGCATCGGGGAGGGGGCTGAGCTCTTGTCTCCTGCCGGGTCCTCTGCCAACACTTGGTCAGCTGTGGTGCTCACGCTGCCCCCCGAGCCCCCACACCCATTTCTGACCTGAGTGCAGGCTTTTTTTTTTGCTTTTTGGGTCACACTCGGCGATGCACAGGGGTTCCTCCTGGCTTTGCACTCAAGAATTACTCCTGGCGGTGCTCAGGGGACCCTATGGGATGCTGGGAATTGAACCCGGGTCGGCCACATGCAAGGCAAACGCCCTACCCACTGTGCTACCGCTCCAGCCCTGGGTGCAGGTTTTTTATGACTGTGTTTTTTGGACCACTCCTGGCAGTGCTCAGGGATCCTAGAAGATGGTGGAGATGAACCCTGGTCGGCTACGTGCAAGGCAGACCCCCTACCTGAGTACAGTCCTGACCATCCCAGCTCATCCTGGGGCCGCTGAGGCCCAGAAGGCTGGACGCAGGGGACACCAAGTGACACTCTTTAAGTCACAGACTGCCGGCTTCTGGGGGCTGAGAGGAAAAGGGGGGGGGGAGACAGGAAATGGGAACAGTAAGGGGCTGCTCAACTCACCCCTGCTCTCTCTTCTCGGTACCCAGCCGTTCCTCCAGGGGGCAGAGGCTCCCACCCCCTCCCAGCCTCCCCCTCCAGCCCCCCCACCTCACTGCCCCCTTGTCCTGGAACATTCCGTCTCAGGGGTGCTGGGAATACGGGGCGGCCAGGACGGGCCTGGCACTGCCCATCAGGGCTCCTGGTCTCGAGACAGATGAATGGAAGGATGACCCGGAAAACCGTCAGATGATGGCTGGGCCCAGAGCCCCAGAGCGAAGGGGCCGGGGTGTCCGAGCACGTGTCTCAGGGCCAGCCGTGGACATGGGAAGGAGACAGGAAAAGGAATCTGGCCACTTCAAAGGCGGGATGTATTGATTTGCAGGGTGGGGTCTGGAATGAAGAAAGTTCCAGGCTATGGAGTAAAGACCTACCCTGGGGTCCTGGGGACTGGGGGGCGCGTGGAGATTGCCCCTGTTTGCAGAGAGTAGGGCAAAGGCCGTTTGGGCTTGGGGGCTGGGCTAGAGTGGACAGCTGCCAAAGGAGCTGCAGAGGGGCTGGGAGACGGGACAGCATTCGGGCTCAGGCCTGGCACAGGCCCGTCCTGGGTTCCAGTCCCGGAACCACGTGATCCCCAGAGCACTGCTGGTGCAGCCCTGGTCGAGCCCCCCTGGGATCTACACGGCAGGGTGTGGAAAAAGGAAACCGGAGTCAGTGGGGGCTGGAGCGAG